TACTTAGGGTATAGCTATATTTTCGTTTCTTTGCTGTACCAAATAATTGATAGACTTTATATGGGTTTACTACTAATATATTTTCATTCATTACATCATTTCAACATCTGCTATTGGAGTTATAGCTGTCTTTTTTACATTTCAATATACAAGGTTGTTTTCAAATTAGTGCAGGGCCATTGTAATTTAAATAACTACTTTTAAGTTCTGTAGAGATATTATAAAAACTGAGAGCAACCAACAATCCTAAACAGGGATAATTATACATTACAGCCACTAGGCTTCGACATTTAAATGTTTTATAGAGTTGCAAGTCCCTAACACAAAGCAATAGTAGACATTATAAGCAGAAATATAAATAATTCAGCATAGTTGCCGGACTCTGTGAGAGTACCAATAAGGTAGGCAGTCGAAACAGACGTCAGTCATAGTACATGCAAAATGAACACAGTTTGGTATGTCTCCTTCTGGGTACCTATATGTACCAACGTAATTACCAGAGAGAGGGGGTTCGAGGTCCGCAATTTGGGCCATGACTGCTTCACCAATCTCCACCATTTCATCCAACCAGGAGATGTTCAAAGCTAGAATATGCATAGCTGTCCTACCTTCTTCGTAGCGACCAGCACAAATTGCAAATATTCCGTATGCAAATGCGGCATAGACGATGGGACGTTCGGCTCTGTGGAGCAACTCCAAACTCTCTATTGATGGACCATATTTTACCAACCGTCTTAGCCCTTCGACGTACAGGGCCGTCGCATTTCCTGCATCAAAGCATTTCATGAAAAAAGACCGAAAAGGCGTGCCTTCATTTGATAGGGAGCTCACGAAAATGAACTCATCGAGGTCGGCTTCAACTAAGACTTCTGTGGAAAAAACAGCGTTTTTTCCTTCCTTTCCACTTGCAATGAATGGTCCTAGCTCTCTGAATCCATGTCTTCCAAGCCTCTTTACAATTTCTATGAGTATCTCTGGGGGAAAATAAACCATTTTCTCTCTATCTCTCAGAAGATGACTTAACTCCTATTTTTATACTCCTCTCTCTTCCTTATTTTACGTTATTTATTACGAACCTATTTCTGATTTAGCTCATCTACACTACTGCATAAACCCACTATCTTTCAGCTCTGCATTGAATATCTATTTAACCACTCCGCAACTACTCCCTGTTTAGACATCTGTCATTAGTGTTCTGTCTCTTCTTATCTGTTTTTACTGATTTTGTTTACAAAATCCCTATTAAATGATGTTTAGCTTCAGATGATGGACAAGATAAGTCAGGTCTGTCGTTGGAGGAACCGCTTTTCACTATCATCGAAGTTCCAAGTGTTTCCACTTGGCGCCCTGTTTCAACCACCTTAATTAAAGACACACTTCTTACTCCATGACAAGTCTTCCTTCTATCTATCTTTAGCTTCACGTATTTCCTTATACCAATTCTCGTAATGGTTCACATTCCAGAAGATTTACTTGTCAATATTATTTCACGCGTTGGGAAATATGGCTTTAGGTATCTAGGCCCTCTCATCGCTTCTACTAAGGAAACCAAAAATGCAGTTTTTTCTCCCCTTGTACTGCAGTGTGTGGATCTTTCTGAGTTCAAGACGGAGAGTTCTATGGTCCAGGTAGAGTCCATTTACCGTCCCTTTTTCTATGCTTGCGTTGAAGCAGGAAATGTTGACGCCAATCTGTTTGAGGGTTTACGTATTCTTTGTCAAGAAGGGCCAACAGAGAGTGGTTTTGCAATGGTTGCTATGTCCCATCCTGATTCCATATCTGCAACATTTGTCACTGGTGTCTTCCGCATATGTGCTGGTCAATATGAATCTGGAATTGAGACCATTTCACACATTTGGAATCTCGTTCCTCGCTGGGAAGATGCTGTTGTCGTTGCTGATACGGTTATGGAGCAAATTGTTAGAATGGGGCCTGCTGGGGCTGGTATTTACTTTAATAGCTTCCACTACCCTCTTGACGATATCCCGCATTGCACTGTTATCCATTGTGCCGCTGATAATGTTTGCAAAGACTGCTTTGGTTTCTGGTACTCGCTTATCATACGTTCTATCTGCTAACCATCTTTGTTTACCGATCGTATGTGTAATAATAAGCTTCAGTATCTCATGTTGACATTCGGTAGATCCTTAAGATTGAATTAGCTACCACTTGTAGTATATTATGTCACAAATTCTCTGTTTCTGTACCAAACATTTCACGCTTTCTATGTTTGTAATATATCTTTTTTATCTGCCAATCTCCATGTAATATATTTAACCAGTTTGTAATATACTTGTAGTCAAGAGCTAACCGGCCATCTCATGTTGACCTCGTTTTACATGAAAGAAAAAACAAACTTACTGTTCATAAACCGAGGAAACAATAGCAAACTTAAACAAGCAAGGCAACAAAGCAAAGCAAGAGAGAGTTTAGTAGAGTTACAAAAGTCTAGATAGATGTTATTTTACACTAAAATGAGTATTTCTAGTGGTGGAGTTCGCACTAGGTGAGGTGAAAAGGAAAACTGTCGACTGCATCTCTGATTGGTTTTCTTGATCGGTTGCAAACCGATTGGAGCTCATTAGACCGTTTTCCGTGTTTTGCCGCTCGGTTGTCCCGAACGGCTGGAAACCGATCGGATATTTTTTCGTTTAACACTACTGATCGGGTTTCTTGATCGGTTGAAAATCGATCGGAGCCTCTTTAGTGATTTTTCATTGTTTTGCCAATCGGTTTGTCTGATCGGTTGTAAACGGATCGGAGCTCCATTTCTGCCTTTTTGGCTCGGCTTCCTTCGGTTTGATCTCGTGCTCTCCTGCAACTCCAAGTGTCCTGAAATATATACACAAACCACAGAAGAATGCTATTTTATTTCAATTTATCATTTCTTAAAATTATAGTCTTAATCTATATTACTTAACCTTGCAAATATAGTCTTTCGTGCTTATCCTATAATTCATCTATAAACCTAATTAATTAGAGAGCATAATATATATACATCTACATATATGTGAAGTGCTAAGATTCCGTATAACTTGATATATTTAGGATATTAAAATTCTTAGATGTATATATAGTGTCTATATGTAATGTACACGCAATCTTTCATATTTGACATGCAATCTTCAAAAGTAATCATTTTGGTAACTGACAACTTTTCACTCATTATTAATGATTCCCTATAATCTAAAAAATATAGAGTATATTAATAAAACTATTAATAACGTTTCGATTTCCCTTATTTTCTTTAACAATTTATTATGCCTCTTCATTAATTTCTCTATATAACCAAGTAGACCTATCGTTTAGAATTGAGAAAGAAACACTGTAACTTCCCTTCTCAAAGCAGAGCAGATTCGTTAAAAAACATGGTTGATATGCATCTTTTATCCCAAATTCGTGTTAACTCTACAGAGTGGAGGGTTTATGTTAAGATAATGCGTATCTGGCATCACAATCCACCATTGAATGGTGATGTAACCACCATGATTCTCGCAGATGAAAAGGTTTGTTTGTAATTCTTATCTTCTGTTTTAAAACATAGTGAAGATCATCCATTTACTTTCGTCTCTTACTTTTTTGTTTTTGTTTGTATAGGGTAATTTCTGCGATGCAACAATTGCTAGAAACAACTACATGTTTAACTTTCAACCTGGACTCAAAGAAGGTTTGTGGTATTACATGTCTGACTTCCAACCAGTCGTACCCTCAGAATACCAAGCCAGATTTGCACCATTTCCACTTCAGATTAGGTGTATCAGACAAACAACAATGTGGCCTGTTAGATCTAGGTGTTATAGCAATTTCTTTGACTTTATGACTCATGATTCTATCAGCAACCCTCATCCAGATGATGGAACCTATGTGACTGGTAATAAAAGAGCGTAGGTTGAAGTTATATAGTTATCTATTTATATGTCTTTCCAACCATTTTGTGTTGTGTTTTTTTAGATGCTATGGGTGTGATCTCTGCTGTGTCCACCATTCGAAGGTTTCCCTTTGTTTGTCGTCCTGGTGAGACAGATTATGAAGCTCGCTATGTCTGTTTCAAGATTGCTAACAATGTGTAAGTTTACTATATTTCTGTCTAATTTTGTACAAGATAATGAAGTTTGTTATCATGTTATATCTGTTAAAAACAATATGCTTTGATGGCTACATGAAATCTAGGGGTGAGACTATCAAATGCGTTGCTATTGGTAAGTGGTGTGAGTTCTTTATCAACGCTTGGTCCAGAAGAATTAGCTCTGTAGATTACAACTATGATAAGATAGTTGCAGTCTTGCGTTTCTGGAGGATCTCATCCTACTGTGGTAGGTTTTAATGAGATTTTGCTTTTGCTGAACTTATTTTTGCAGTGTTATATTGACTGTGTTTATTATTGTACTATAGGAAAAAATGTCTTAATGAGTGAATCTTGCTGTTCACGTCTCTACATTGATCCCATTTTCTATGAGCTAGACTTACCAAGCTACCTGTAAGTATCGTTTATAGTTTACACTTCTTTTATGTTTTTCATTTTTCAGTGTTAACATAAATGCAACAATATTTCTGTTAGGCGCTCTTTCGAAGATACTTCAACTGATGAGGAAGATGTCATGATGGAGATGGTTGAGGGGAACTAATTATTGTGAGGGATATCTGTGCATGTTCTACGGTGGCTAGCTCTTTTGAAGAACTCTGAATGTTTTGGTGTTATGTTTTAAGTTTATGTTTTGAACTCTTAATGTTTTTAATTTTCTTTTTGTTTATTATCAACTACTACGGCAACTCTGCACAAGAGTTTGCAAACTTTCTTTCTATTTAATATTTTATCTGTAGTGAATCTGTTTGACAATTTATGTGGTTTTTTGGTATTTTGATGTCTACAAGTTTAAGCTAGGTCTGTTAAAAGAAAAAAGGTTATAAATTAATTATGAATTTAATTCTAACTAAATCTCAAACATTACTTAATTATATATCTACTATCTAACTAGTCTTACACCGTCTTGTTGTTTCAGAGTGTTGTCTACAAATAAAAACCAAAAACAGCAAAACTAAAATGAAAAAGACAATTTTATGATAGGATGGTTTGACCTTTGTTTTAACTGTGGTCTCAGTTCATTCATCTTCGTCTTCGCTCGATACGTAATCCGGCGGTTGCAGCTTCTTCACTTTCCAGAACAGTTTGCCGATGAGCTTCTTCTGTAGCTCATTTATCTTCTTCTGAGCTTTATATGCTGCTTGGATGAGTTTCTCCCGCTTTGTTCTTGCTGTAAACTCTATGTCGGGCATTTGTATCATGTTTAGTTCTTCCAAGTAGTCTCTGGGTTCTGCAGCATCTTCACCATCACCATCGCTTAGCTCCATTGGACCCTGGTCTTCCTGTAAAAGATCTTCCTCGCCAACCTCAAACTTAACATTTGTCAAAGTAAGAATGTTAGTCTTATCTGGTTGTGGCAGCACGAAGATCTTCTTTGTCTTGTCACGGAGTTGTATCTTGTAATGGAGCGTGTTCAGGTCCCTTGTCGCTTTTAAGAACCGAGACAAGATGAGATAGTCTCTACTCAAATATGCCATATCAGGGAGCTCGCGACTGCTGCTAAGATCTACACCGGCTTTTTTGAACAAAGGAGTAAGCATACCTCCAATGTAAAGATCTGGATTTGGCGTGGTTTTTGCCCATGTCTTGAATTGCAGCAGGTTGTTTGCGAAGATGCTCCCATAGTTGATCTCATCCCCAAACTCATACTCGAGAAGTACTCCTCGCATGTCTATCAGAAGATGCTTGAGCCCTTGGTAGAGTAAGCATAGCTCCTTTAGTGTGACTGCTCCAGCGTCTTTCCTTGCGAAGAATGTGTTTGCCAACAGCTTGCAAACATATCGAATTACCGGATTTCTGATCCCCGTCATCTTCGCTCCGTGTGTTTTGTAGTTTCCATTCGCAATTCTGTTCCATAAATTATTTGCGCCATGGAATGTATCGAAATTGACCGCTTCCCCTTTGCTAAACCCGTAGACTTCGCATATGTCAAATATGGTAAGCCCGTAGCCTTTGTTGCGAATCTTGAAGGTCATCAAACCTTGACTCGCAACCTTGTCCCTCGGCTTCTCGTATTCGACCTTAACCGTTGAGAGAAAGTCCCTGGTCTCTTCTTCGAATGTCGGGTAGTACATGTCTTTCAGACAAGACATGCCTATGCGCTGAAGGAGGTCATCCACTCCTTCTGCAAGTCCCATTTGTCGCAGGAAAAATCTGTCAACGAAGCGTGTTGGATGGACTTTGATTTTCTCGAAATCGCTTCGTGATGTTTTCTCTCCGTGTGTCCATTGGATGTCTTGAGGCTCACTACGTTCTTCAGTCATGGGCACTTTTCCTGGACGTTGTCTCTTTTTCGGAGCCATGTGTATCCTACAAAATATAAGACATTTCACAATGAGGATTCCAACAAAGAAGATATCGCATAATTTCATCAATCCCATCAAACAAAATCACCAAAAATATGAACCAAACAAATTTAAAACACTCTTAAAACACACAAAATCAAAACAAAAGCACACACATATTCACAAAACAAGTCAAAAATCTCAACATCAATACAAGAATTGATCAAAATCAGATAGTTCTAACTCCAAATTTGTTAGTCATTTATATTAACAATTTTTGAACTCATTGTAACCCAAATCAACAGCTATTTCTCCAAAAATCACCAAAATTTCGAGAATTACCAAACTCAAAAACCCAAATTTATCAAAATTCAAAATTCTTCAAACTTTGTACCAATTATAAACAATGGGTTTGTTATATGAGCAACACTCATCAATTTTAAGCACATAATCTACCCAAAATCGATTGGGTTTCTCTATTGAAGTAGCATGGGCAATTTGCTTCTCAAATCAAAAATCAAACAAGACTTATGAAGTCTAATCCATCAATTAAACAATCAAAGCATGTGTTCTTGACCATTGGAAACCATAATCTAGAATCAAACCGTTGAGAAGAAGCTATTCAAGCAGGGAGAAGTGATTTTCGATTTTTCACCTTGATTTTTCCAAAAACGGACTGTAAATTGGGATTTTGGAGGACATACCTTTCTAAATCGAATGATTGAGTGCCAAAATCAGAAAGGTTGTCAAAAATCGTATGGGTTAGAGCCAAAAATCATTAAAATCGGAGTAGAATCGAGTGAGATAGAGAGATTTTTGTGTTTTCAAATTAAATGAGAAACGGCGGAATATTTGAGAAGAAGAAGAAGGAGTCGCGAATCGGGTTTCTCAATCGGTTTGCAAGCGATCGGATCTGTTTAGTTGATTATTGCAATTTTGCCGCTCGGTTTCGTCGATCGGTTGTAAACCGATCTGATTGTAAATTTTGCTCCGCAACTCCGTTTCAGTAAAACTCACCACCGTTGGAAAGCTAATTCAATTTCCTACAACTTTCATGAAGGGCTACAAAGCTGAATCACAAGGTATAGGCTTCGTATGATGTGATCTTTGTTTAATGTTTTTGGTATGAACAATTCCTCAGTTTTTCTTTTCTTTTTTATCCATGTTTTTGCTTAACTTATTACACCAAACCATAAGGATAATATTTCACATACAAACCATTCATTACATTGTTGCTTTTTATCCAGTCTAACAAACCAAAATTAGCGAATACAGGAGGCTTTGTACTATACTTGGTGCATATCCACATGTGTTTCAAAGGGATATCCAAAAACAACTTCACCAGCCTGCACCATTTCCACTCCTGTCCCCACTATAATACATCATCTGGAAAATCAGTCCAACGTTGAGCCTTCTTTGGCCTCCGCTTCATACAGTTGGCAAGCTTTTAGCTTATATTTACATCACCAAAAAACCAAGTAACTTAACAACACGCCTTTTTTGTGTTTTAAGTGATTGCATTCCTCCCCATCCTCTTACCAAGTTCACTACCCATATGCTTCTATTTACACAAATATACAGACCTGCTTCCACACTCCCATTCTTTTCAGCTTTATCCTACATAAAATTTCAATAGTTTTGATTCAGAACAACAGTTATTTGTGGACGTGCCACATGACATGACAGTAAACAAAGCTTACATTATGGTATAGGGTTGCGGCATGTTGCCCTGTTATGGCCTGTCGCAAAGCACCTGCTACACCTACTTGGTCCATTCGAGCGCTTCTTCTTTCGTCCCTATAATAGATTACACAGATTACAAGAGTCATTCACCCAAATTTAAAGGTTTGGTACTTTTAAACACGACAACTTACCACTGTCTCGCCAATAGACGGGATTCTCCTCTTTTTTGGACGGCCTGGTCCTGGATTCACCTGGGGAGGGTTGGTCTCGTCATCAACTAACTCTTGTGGGACATCCGCGTCCTCCACATTAGGTACAGGCATTACAACAGCACTATACGCGTTAACCCATTCCCCAGTTTTGTAATGGTTATCCACCATCTCTGGTATTGGAACTCCATGAGCCCTTGCAGCAGCCAACGCATGGCAGCAAGGAATACCAAGTGTTTCAAATACCTTGCAGCTGCATGTTTTTGCGTTGAGATTAACAATGAAAGCTACACCTTTGCTATTGCTTACTTGGTAATAGGCTTCACTTGCAGGTGCAACACTTAATCCTCCAGACTCTGATAGGTGCTTCATAAGTATCTCCTCCACCTCAGGTGTCACTGGACTCAGATGCTTGTTTGCCTTCACTCGTCTACAGTAGAACCATCTCATCAACATCATCCTAATTGTTTCAACCATTGAAACAATAGGAAACTCTAAAGCCTTGGCCATTGCAGCGTTAAGACTCTCTGCAACGTTGCTGCTCATAATGTTGTATCTTTTTCCCTGGAAATAAACTCTTGACCAGTGAGAGATTCCTATACCTCTGAGATAATTTGCACACAACTGACTCCTCCTTTCAATTTCATCAAACTTGTTTCTGAATTCCCCAACTGTGTATGCTGTAGCTGCTTTCACCACCAACAAAGCAAGCCCTTTCTGTCTACTGTATCTGCTCTTGACATTTCGGTAAAGATGCACCGCACATGATCCATGCTTTGCGGTTGGATACACTTTACGCATCGCCGCGTAGATAGCATTGTGCCTGTCAGAAACAATAACTAAGTCATCTGCATCTGGAACAATGGATACAAGTTGTGTGAAAAACCATGTCCATGCATCCTCATTTTCAGAATCGACCACTCCAAACCCCAGAGGCAGTATCTGAAAATTTCCATCTTGAAAGCTAGCAGTCAGCAAACAACCTCTAAACTTTGCTTTGATTGTAGTTGCATCAATAATCATAACTTTTCTCATGAACTGTGCTGCATGAATGCACGCTCCAATAGCGAAGAACAAATACTTAAACTTACACTTAGATGTCCCATATCCCGTGGTGACAACGTCATACACTGTCCCGGGATTGCTTTGTTTCAAAAGGTGTAAATACACCACTAGAAGCTTGTAACTGTCTTCTGCGGTTCCTCGAGCTTCAATAACAGCTCTCTCCTTCGAATGCCATGCCTTCATGTAATTTATCGAAACACGCAGCTCATCCAATATTATATCAGGAATGTCTACAGCCCTTGGACCGAGCTTTCCATTCGCATACTTTGATTTCAACACTTCTGCTATAACTTTGCAAGATGCCTTCTTTCCATACTGCCCACGGGATGTAATGTCACATGTGTGTGTCAGGGTGGCTGTCCTCACTTCCATGTTTTCAGAATTTGGTGATGAACGGAGACCATATACCCTCCACGGACACCTCAAATCGACACACCTCACAATTAATCGCTCCTTATCAGACCTCACTTGGATGAAATTGAAGAACCTTTTAATAGCGTAGATAGCTAAAGATGTTTGCATCTCAGCTTTGTTTCTGAATATTCTTCCAATAAATATTGCATCGTTCTCAGGATCATATACACCTTGTGGCACCTCTTGCGTATCCAGGAACTGATCTCCAAAGCAAGGTGCACAGTCATGGGATGGGACAACATCTGCAGCTATAATTTCATTGTAGATATTTGCAAGACTGAGCTGAATTGCCTCATCTAATTGGTCCTCACAGTCCTTATCATGTCCCTCAGTAACAACATTATCGTCTTCTACTTGTATGTTGTCGATGACTGCAGGAACCTCATCTACTCCTCCCAACCTTTCATCAGTCGTACTCTCAGGTACAGAACACATTATTATAGCATTTGAACTCTCTCCCATCACCATTGTTTCGCCAACTTGCAGTGGCCTGTATTCCTGGCTTCGCAATGTATTCCATACATTATATTGATACTGTTCTTCCTCCGCTCTGACATACATCTCCCAATCCTGAGTCTCATTATAGTCGCTTCCTACATGCTCTGACTCTGTCACCTTCTCTTTTCCTTTACTAATTTTCAAACCCTGTGCCTGCCTTGCCATTTCTTCAACAGCTTCAAGCTGCCTAATCATCTCATCATCATAAAGGCTGTTTAGATCGATATCTGCTTTATCGTGGACTATATGCCTAACATCAGCAGCAGATGTTCCCAATGATGCAGTCGCAAGTCCGACAGCATTGTATGTTGAGTCCACTTCATCTACACTTTGTATAGAAGGGGTTCCGTCAGCAAGGTTGATGATTGGTGCAGCAGTTGCAGTTTTCTTCAGCAGTCTAGGATCAGTTTCGGCTCCGCAACCAAATGTAACCAACAAATTCAGAGGTTTAGTGGCAGCCCTGAGTTTCAAGAATGTCTGCAAGCCTCTGTCACTATTTATGGAGACTGGTGGGGTTTTACCAGAAGCAAACATTGACATTTCAGACGGGGGGCAGTACGACATTCTCTTGACTACACCTTCGATCTCTGTTGCAAACTCTTGCTCAATACGTGTCTTAACTGCTGCATAGCTCATATCCTCAGAAACCATCACGCACTGAGCAACACAGTTTGTTTCCACAATAAACTTCCACCAACCATCAGTAGAGCATTCCCAGTTTCCCACTAAAACGAGTAAGAGTGTCTCCTTACCCTGCAATATTGACAAATCCCAAAATTAATATATACCATAGTAAGGAAAATGATGACACAGAGTCTCGTAAGTATCATGTCTACCTGATAGACCATAATATTAAAAATTTGTTCACCATTTACTCTTACGTACCATTCTCCTAACCACAGTCTAACCATCCACTATCAACCCAACTTAGGTTGTTTCGAGAAGCTACAATTCCCTCCTACACTACATTCGTTTGGTATAAAATACTGCCAGCCACTTCATCACCCAAAACAACAAACAACATTATTTTCCACTTACCATATTTGCAGATCCGTTAACCTCCGGCGAATTCGTGTCGATTATCTCTACCATTCTTCCTTCGTTAGCTGTATCACAGGACTTACTTCAACTTCTAATTCTCTTTACCTCTATTTATCTAACTCGACAAACCCTAGAAACCAAACAACTTGGGGACAGTAAATTTCTGTCCACAGAATCACCATAAAAACCTGCGTCGTCCTGTTCATAATTCACCTTACAGCCACATAATTTTTTTAATTAACTTAATCTATGCCTTAATATCACTTACGTCATCCTCCCACTCACAATATATTCTCTTCGTTTCCCGCTCATTGACATAAGGGCAAAATCGTCCTACCATCTCCAGTTTTTACAGAACTATTTATGTCAACAGTAATAAATGCCCAAATCCGAAACTGCCTGCTGAATTGTGCCTATTTTCGCAATTCCCCCTTGACAAAAAGCGATTACGCATGATATTAAACTGAGATAAATTCTTTGTTTCTCTGTGTGTAGTAGAATTTTGAAAATGTCGTGTATATTCCTGCAACATTTCAAGAGCAGGTAAAATTTTTTTGTTATGAAAATTTTTCCTTAAGTTTCACACTATATACCCTTTATTATTATTAGTTAGTACTTAGTACTAAAGTGTATTGAGATATGCATTTATATATAGAACTTTAATATATATTGTAGAAAATCTATAACTTACTATCTATAAATTTATAAAGATAGCAATTCACCTACGCAAAACCTATTAGATTACAAAACTAGCCCATTACTATACACAACTATAAATGGGAAAGATCTTTGCTCCTTTAAAATAGCTCAACTAACATAATACTTTTAATTGAATAAGATGGAATGTATTTTGATATGTGGTTTTGTTCTAGTATTGTCCTTGATCATTAAGGTTCAAGGAGCTATTAACATTGACATAAACCAAGAAGCAAGTTTCGATGAACACTATGTCGTTACGTGGGGACAAGATCATGTCTTGAAACTCAACCAAAGCAAAGAAGTTCAGCTCTCCATGGACCATTCTTCAGGTCAATTGAATCTATTTTTTAAAACTTTTGAAACAATGTCATTTTAAAGACTAAAATATGTATTGATTTTGTGTTTCTAACACCTAAAGGTTCTGGTTTTGAATCCAAAAACCACTACGGGTCAGGATTTTTTCAAATGAGAATCAAATTGCCGGCAAAAGATTCTGCTGGCATCGTAACCGCTTTCTATGTTCGTATTTTTTTCTTTCCATTTTCATTTACATGAACTTGAATAATTAAGTACTTTGTTAAGAAAGTCAATTTTCCATATGTATTGGTATATAGTTGACTTCAAAGGGAAATAGCCAAGATGAGGTTGACTTTGAGTTCTTGGGAAACAGAGAAGGGAAACCAATAACAATACAGACCAATGTGTTCACCAAAGGTCAAGGAAATCGAGAACAAAGATTTGTTCTTTGGTTTGATCCAACCGAAGATTTTCATGCTTATGGAATTCTGTGGAACCCATACCATATTGTGTATGTCCCCTTTCTTCATGCTTTCCTCATGCATTTCTATAAATATTTAATACAAACATATCAAAATTGGTATATAAATAGAACTGATACAAAATTTAATTGGAATAATGTCTTAATAATCATATATATGTTGGTATTATAGAGTAACCAAACAAACAAAAATACGAGAAAAATAAATATAACAAAAAGATGAAAAATGATATATATTGAATATGTTGTGTAAATAACTTTTTCTATCTTTACTATACTATATACATAAGGCATTATAAAAAATATGTTTGAAAACAAAAAACCTTTCTTCATTACTTATTGAGACATAATCAATTATGATTAATTAATTTTTCGTAAAAATAAAACATGTAAAATCTGAAGGTGATATGTCATATTATAGAGAAAATACTCATATCTAATATTATAATTCATTCTAATAATATGATTATATAGGTTTTACGTGGACAATATTCCAATAAGAGTGTTCAAAAACAACAAGAAAGGGGTAAGCTACCCATCAAAACCCATGCAAGTGGTGAGTAGCTTATGGAACGGTGAGGCATGGGCAACTGATGGTGGTAAGGCAAAGATTAATTGGGCCTATGCTCCTTTTAAGGCCCATTTTCAGGGTTTTTCTGAATCTGGTTGTCACATGGATGGTCTTAATGATGCTTGTGAATCATCAGCATATTGGTGGAACACTGGAAAATATGTTGGAATAAGCGTTTCCGAGCAAAAGGCTTTTAAAAATGCAAGAGCCAAGTATATGAATTATGACTATTGTTCTGATCATACTAGATTTTCTGTTCCTCCTGATGAATGTCAATGGAATCAGTAAAATATGTTCAAAAATCATATTCCTTGGATTAATTAATCTATTAATCAATAAATCTATTTATCAAAAGGTATATGTTTTATATTATTATTCATAATGATTACCAAAATAAAAATTATTATTCATAATAACTAAATTATCGGTTAAAAACCCTTTAACAAGAAAAATTAAAACAAAAATTATCGCATGATTATTAGATGAAGTTTTTTTTTGGTTTGGTGATAAGTGTAACAGTGTCTAAATTAGGAATATAAACCCAAGCTTCAAATAGTTTCTTTTGTTTTTGGAAAGGAATAGACTCGACATTGAATACATAGATGTTATAAAAAATTATTGGGAAAAAATCAGTAACAACAAAAAAAAGATTGAATATATTATAATCTGAAAAAAAAAAATTAAAACCAATCGCAAAAGAAAAACTTTAATAGATGACAAAAAAAACTAATAGAACCCAGCTAATTAATTGAACCGACATTTACACATTAAACCAACCGGTTTGGTATATTCCAGAAAGCTTAAACCCTCGACAAATAATGTCGCTTTATGTCGCCTTCTCTTCGTCACCGTGTGTGTGAGTTCGCCGACGCCGTGAATTCTTGGTTTTCCGATTTACCATTCACCTCCGACGGCGCATCATTTCTCTCCTTCTCCACAGTTTACATGTTCGTGGATTGCCTGTTTCTCAGTTATATTCAATCTGGTGAAAACAAGAATCTCCAAGCTCAGAGACACTGAGACTAGATCCTCTGTTTCTGTGAACTTGCTTATCAGATTCTTGTTGCCTTATCCAACTGATTTGAACCAACCGGTCTATTCCGGTTATTGCCTCACGAAGCAGATCACAGAATGTCATGTTAGCTTTAGGTTATGCCAAAGGAATCGCTCATCGATTTCTCAGAAATCCCAAATGGTATTCACTATTTCCTCATCAATTTTGTGTCTTTCTCTGTGTAAGTTCTTATAGACATGTTTCTGGGTTTTTTGCAGGACCTCTGGACTCTTCTTGCATCACAATCAGTCCCCTAATTACTCCATTTATGTAAAGTCAAAACCTTTTCTACAAGTTCCATGTAAATCAGCTTCTTTTGATGTTTTACAAGCTCAGAGACGGAATCTATTTGCGTATGATGGTTTCTTTAGTAGGCGTTACTTAAGTAATTCGACGGTAGAGCTAAGAACAGATGATAATGTGGTGAGGTTTGCTTTCAACAATGTTACTGGTAGTGGTAACAATGTTGTGCCTACAAGAAAAGAGAAGAAATGGAAACGGGCTAAAATGTCGAGAAAGGCTAAAGTGAATGAGTTAAGGTTTTATCGTCTTAAGGCGAAAAAGAAGATGAATTCACCAAACCCTGAAGTCAGGATTCGATATAAGCTTGAAAAGGTTACATCTTTTAATCACTTTACTTTGTTTTGATTATGCTTTCTTGCAAGTTTTGAAAGCGTAGAGCTTCGCATCAGTTTGCTTATGATGTTTGTATATGACTGTGAATCTTTCAATGTTATGTGCTTATGAAGGTTATTCAAAATTTGTTGGTGTGGTTGATTGTGCAGGCCAAGAGGAAAGAAGAATGGTTGATTGAGAAACTGAGGAAATACGATGTCCCGAAGTCATCAGCAGAGCCGTATGATCCAGAAAGTTTGACAGAGGAAGAGCAGCATTACTTAAAACGTACAGGTGAAAAGAGAAAGAACTTTGTACTTGTCGGGAGACGAGGAGTGTTTGGAGGTGTGGTTCTGAATTTGCACCTACATTGGAAAAAGCATGAGACTGTTAAAGTTATTTGCAAGCCATGCAACAAACCCGGGCAGGTTCATGAGTATGCAGAAGAGCTTGCTCGGTTAAGTAAGGGCATTGTGATTGATGTCAAACCTAACAACACCATTGTATTGTACCGCGGGAAAAACTATGTAAGACCAGAAGTGATGTCTCCTGTTGATACCCTCTCTAAAGATAAGGTATATTGATGAATCCATATACTTTATGTTTGGCTGTTTGTTTATTGTCTGACAGAAGTAAATGAAACTGCAGGCTTTGGAGAAATATCGGTATGAGCAATCGCTTGAACATACGAGTGAGTTCATAGAGAAGCTGGAGAAAGAACTTGAGGAGTACCAGAAGTACGTTACTCGGCACAAGAAGAAGAAAGATGAAGAAGCAGAGAAGAAGAAAGAGGCAGATTCCAAGAGCAAAGTAGTGTAAGCCTTCTTGGTTAAGAGAAAATCTAATCCTATACTATTATTTGGGGAGTACAATTTATATTTATCCTTTAATAACCTTCTCCTTTGTAAGTTATTACATTAGAATGTCATTAGAGATAAAAATTTAAAGAGTAAATTAATTCAAACTCATTAAATATAAACAAGTCAAATACTAATTTAATTAATTTAATTATTAAAAACGAAAATATATTATTAACTTAAAAAAAAAAGAATGACCTATCAAAATGAACATATAAGATTTGATATCTAACTTACCATATTAATTTGTTATTAATCATTACTAGATTTGAACCCGCGGTATACCGCGGGGCTATAATTTTTTTAAAAAAAATCTAAATATAATTAGTTTGTTTATTAATAGAGTGTATAATATAATATTTCGACCTATTTTATAAATGTACCATTCATATATCTATATTAATAGTTTTGAGTATATTAATTGTGTTTTAGGTTTAAATGGTATATCTATATATACACTTAAACGACATTTGACTTTCTTCTTCTTCTTGCCTCAGTTTAGGAGAAAGATTTGTCTTGCGGTACACCGCGGAGCTATTATGTTTTAAAAAAGAATTTTCTTCCTTAAACTTCCAAATCTAGATTCTACCCCGCGGTACACCGCGGGTCGACTTTTTTATAACTAAAATATTATTTTGCAAAATTTTAAGTTGTATTTGTTTTGTTTATATTGTTTATTTTGTTTAGTGTTTCTGATTTTATAATTATATTTTGATTTTAATTTTAGGATTCATCCATAGTATATTATTTAATATTAATATTGATCTAAACTCGTTGCACTATATAACCCCGTCCCGTAAAATTAAACATCATTTGTTATTTTTTTTATAATATTTTTATCCACTACGGGTCGCAGGTTCATGCGGATAAGCCCGTAGAGAGTTGCGGGTTTGCGGGTCGACCCGCCAAAAGAGAAGCTATCTTTTGAAACCCTTTGTTTTGTTTAGAGGTTTTAAGTAAATATTCTAAAAAATAATTTTCATTATATGAAAAACAAGAAGTAGAAGAAATTGTAGTATCAACATTCCCGATTTTTACATCACTCGTTACAATTAATTTTTTTATTTGCAGATAAAAATCAGAAGTTAACTAAGTCGAGATTTTTAAAAAGATTGTGTAGAGATTTTTGGTACATTGTTGAGAACATATTTGATTTCAAAATCTTTACTTAAATAGATATGGAAAGATTTTGTAGAGACTTTTGCTAAATATATGAGAAATGAATTTCAATTAAAAATCTTTACTTAAATAAAACAAATCTAAATATTTAATGCTAATGGCATGTCATCGTAAATACTTCTCAACTTCAAGATTTATTTGCTAATTGTGATCCAAAAATGTATATATAGATACTTCACTTCTCATCTTTATATGATTCTATTTTTATGAAACAAATAAATCATCATATCATCCATATAACAATAAAAATAAATTTTTTCTGCATATGCCAAGATTTGATTTTTTAAAAACAAATATAAATTGTTAAATCTATGAAGAAAAAAATTTAACGGGTCAAAAATTCACATTTGAGTAATATATTTCTTTTAACCAAAAATAAGTTCAACAAAAATTTCGACTGAGTAACGGATCAGAATTTGAATATTTATATTCAATTTCATACATTTATTTTTTGAAATATATCATTTTATATACTATAATAAGATTTTTAAATATTTTAATTTGCAACATATAAAATTAGTTTTACTTGATATTTTTCAAGAATATCATCATTATTTAAAGAATATCATCAATAAATACTCTAATTTGATTTTTTTAAAACATATATTTATAATAGGCAGTGGGTTAAATATAATATATTATATTAACAAATGAGTTATGATCCTTATAACTGTTTGAATATTTCTATTTAATTTCATATAATTCTTCTTTGAAATTCATAATTTTATATACTACAAGAAATATTTTTAAAGATTTTAATTTGGAACATTTAAAAATAGTTTTTTTTTTTATCGTCTAGATTTATTATTAATTGTAAATTATGAAAACTGTTACATAGACGATTCTACAACTGACAATTTCTGCCGACCCTTAGTAGATCCACTATAGACTACACTTCCTTCTTCATGATCTTGATGAATACCTTCAATGATCCACGACCTAGCGACACTTCATTCTCTGCGTAGAATCCTGGCGCAAGGCTATAATTGTACATCTCTGGAGATCTCCTGCACACTTGCCTCTATTAATCTGCAAATTTGTTAATAAATCACAATATCTGGGACTCGAACCCAGACCTCTTAGTGTAGAAGCATTAATCAACCCTTGGTCAACCAATGGACCAAGGGGGCTTCCACAAAAATAGTTTAATTTAATATTTTAATGAATATCATAAATATTTAATAGATGAAAAAGATAAAAAAAATTATAAATACTTTAATTTGATTTTCTAAAAAGATATATTTAAAATAGTAATAGTGGGTGGAGGGTTAAATGTAATATATTATATGATATAAAATTATGATCTTTATAATAGACGGCATGTTAAGATTATATGATCAGATAGATTAAATAAGGTTGACACCATAAAATATTTGAAAATTAGATTGTGCAAGCAATTTTGGAAATAACGAATAATAGATTGTGCACGCAATATTTTCATTAGGATTCTAAAATAAAAATATAGACTCCACGCACGGGTTGAATTTGGTATATTATATACTAAATATATGTTCATAACATATTCGATTGCGCGAATAATTGGTAAATTCTGTAGTTACCTCAAACAAATCTCTATTTCAACAACCAAAGAATTAGAAATTGAAAAAAGAATTTCCTAAATTAATTCAAAATAAAAGCTAACTTTCTTAATTAATTAAAAATAATCTACGTTTTAGAAGCGATTCATTTATAATATTTTGATTTTTTATCTAACTGAATTATATGCAATCTCATTTTGTGGTTGTTAATATAAATTAACTCATTGTTCAGACCATATTAATTTATTGACATAATTTTATTTTCCGTTTTCATATCTTAAAAAATATATCCATAATTGAGTATAATTAAAAAAGAAAATATATTCATTCTAATATTATATATAGGGACTGACAAAAATCTAATTATATTTTTTCAATTACTATTATAATATATCACAACTGTATTTTAAAATATATAATATATAAATTTTGTAATTAATAAAATTTAACCCGTACTGTAGTACGGTTGATGATCTAGTTAAATGTTTAACTCTTTTTGTAGATTAGTATGTAAAAGTTTATTTAATTATATGTTTTAAGGGAAAAAATCTAACATTATTATGCAATAGTTTCTCTAATTAAATGTTTTAAGGGAAAAAATCTAACCTTATATGCTTTAGTTTAATTCAAACAGATACCCACATGAATATGATGAACCTACATATCTACTGTCTACATAATATATATACACTGTTAAAAATAAAGATAGACAATAAAAGACAAACAAAATTAGGAGCCATGGAAACAAGAGAAGAGAAGAAAAAAGAAATCCATAGAATTACAAAATCTTCGTCAACTTGTTTTCATGGCGATGATATAGCGGGTAATGGAGTATCTTCTGATAAATATATTCCCATTGATCTGACGAGGGAGATACTAATCAGATTGCCTGCAAAATCTATCGTGAGATTTCGTTGTGTATCAAAACTATGGTGGTCTATAACCACCCAACAAGATTTCATCAATTCATTTGTGACTCGACAATCATCAATTCCGCGTCAGAGTCTTCTTCTTACCTTTATGGCCAAGGATGATCAGCAGAAGCAAGTCTTCTGCATCTTCTGCATATTGTCATTTCATGAGAACTCTACGAATTATTCTGATGTGAACCATTTTCATATCATGCACCCTACAAAAGATTGTCAATACGACTACTATAATGCTTCTGTCAATGGCTTGGTCACTTTCAAAACCGAAACGGGTATTGTAATCTGGAACCCTACCATAAAAGAACATATAACCTTGCCTCAACCTAAAATCTCTAAGCACGTAAGATGTTTTTTAGGATATGACCCTAAGGAAAATACATATAAAATACTATCGATTGATTTTTGTAAGACATGGGAAAAATATCAAAAACATAAGATTCTTACATTAGGATCTCAAGAATCATGGAGGGTGATAACAAATAGCCCTGATCATTATCCTAGACGTGGGTATTATTGCATCAACGGAGTTGTTTACTATAGAGCATATATAACCTACGAAGAATATCATAAAATTTACCCTCCGTTTATCAAAGAAATCGAGCTGGATATGAGATTGAACGAGATCATTATGAGTTTTGATGTGAGGTCTGAACAGTTCAAATCAATTGAATTACCTGCTCGTGCGAACCAATATGAATCAAAGCTTGATGAATCTCTGATGACTTACCAAGGAAAATTAGCATGGGTTTGCTATAATTCAAATATGATCAAATTATGGGTTTTGCAAGATCTTGAAAAACAAGAATGGTCAAAAAATGAATTTGTTTTACCTAATTTGCCTCAAAGAGATTTGCTTGGGAGTGCTAAGTTAAGTGGTGCCACTAGTACTGGTGAGTTTATCTATGTATCGGGAAAATATTTCAAAGACATTTCGGTTTTTTATTACGATCCGGTGAGAGAGACTATCACAAGTGTCAATGGACTTGAATATGAGAAATTTAGGTCCTGTTATGGATCTAATAACGATGAGATGGCTTGTCTCCGATCTTATCCGAATCATATTGAAAATCTCATGTCTCTAAGGAACATCATGTGTTCACCTATTGTGTGATTATGTCTTTCATGTGTTTTAGGTTTTGTTGTAATCTTTTTTTTTTCCTTTTAATCTCGTCTTCCGCATTATTCATACAATATTAAAATTATTGGTGACTAGGCCTACAAGATAGTGTTAGTAGATCGCATGCGAATAGAGCTCATGATAAGATACAAGCAGCGAAAGATAAAGACCTAAGAAATGTTTTGGCTTAAAGCCCAAAATTTGGACAGAAAACGAACGAAACAGACATGCAAACATAGTAACACTACACCAATAATTCAATTTCTTCTAACCCCAAAAAGAGATCTGATCAATGGATACACAATACAACTACAAACGTGAAGCAAAATAACTTCACTGAGACAAGAGACGAGTAAAGAAACTCATCTTGAGGACTTCTTTCGCCATTGGGTTCTCCCACGGTTGATCTCCTGACCATTTTCTGACAACCTCAAGATATGCAAGAATTGGCTCTCAGTGTGTTCTTGTTTGCTTGACGTGGTAGATCCGTTGGTCCCAGTAAGCTTTGACACCGCCTCATTGGGGGTTTCAGAGGTGGTAAGTGAATCTACAATGTCATCTTGCTGGCATTCTCTTCTGTAATCTAGAGTTATAACTTTAAGCTCGTGCGTGTCTATAATTTCTTGCGGTATGCTCTGCCATTAACAGGGAGTAAGCTCAAACTTATTAGTTAGCTCATCATAAATGACATAAGGTTTTGCGGATATACTTAGTTACTCACCTCAAGGACCCATCCAATGTAGGTAACATTATTCACATGCTGGTTCATGTCTAGGTCAGCTCGTCTAGGCTTAAGCCCAAGCATAGAATACTGAGCTGGATCTTCCAGTTTCGGGATTTTCTTTAAGCTGCTATTGTTCTCCTCTGGAAACGCTAGTCTACAAAAATACAGAGAAGAAACTATTTAAGTGGCCTCGAAAATAACTATTTTAAGTAAAACATGATTCGTCACCTAGGCTCTCGAGGACAGAAAACCAAGTACTCGTCCCGAACTTCATCTGTAACTCTTTGAAGCCGCCTTGTGTCTTGGTTCATCATCACCCACTTGCTGAAACATTTGTTAAACAACAACTGTTCAAGAATATGCATAAATCTATATAACTAAATAAGCACCCATATGCCAGTTTCTGTAGCTACTAATGTCAAAACTACTAATACACAAACAATTCAGAAAGTTTGGTATAACAAGTTGAAAAGCCAAAACCTTGTAGCACGCCCGATAACTTCACCGGTCGCACAATCTTTCAAAATCCAATCACGTCTAGTTCCAATCCTTCCTTCACTCTGACACCAAGTCTCAATCTCAACCACATCACTCCTATAACCAAAACAAGAAAGCTTAAAACTTTCAACTCCAACCACAAAATCCTTAAACCATTCACTTCCTAAGAAGTAAAACAAAGCCTCACCAAGCTGGATACTTGTAAATCTCAATGTGCATTCTTGCAGTAACCCAAATGAGATGCAATTTCCTCATAGTAAGTGTTGTAGCAAACCCATCAGTCGAAAATCCAACTTTCTGAACATGATTACATGCCACTTCCTACACAAATTCATACTTAAACATCAATCACATGACCAAAAACACTGAACTAGGATCACATTAGAAAGATAAAACAAACATTGCAACACACAAGAATCGTGTTTGGTATTGAGTACACACAACACAAACAAAATCCCCAAACCTGCAAAAGATTAGCAATTGTTTCAACAGTGGCAGTTTTGTTAATCCCAACTTCATAGCTTCTAACAATGAACTTCTCCTTATAAGAAAACCCATCTTCCATCAATCGACCAAATCGGAGACGATCCGCCGGAGAAGTAACGGAAACAAAATCAGTAACACGGAGGCTGCTGTTTCCATGATCAGCAGAGAGAATTGCCCGTAAAGGTTCCTTCTTTAACTGAAAACAAGAGATGGGTCCGGTACGGCGATGCACCGGAACAAAAATCCGGCGAGAATCGGAGAAAAAGTTGTGTACGTGGTCAGTTACATTACACGAAAGCTTCAACATTTCTGAGTAAATTTCGAAAATTGAGAGATGGGTAATGGTTATTTTGGGAAAAGAATCAAAGGGTTTTTGTGTTTGTAGGAGAGAATCAAGGATTGGTGTTTGTATTTGTCGACGACGATGAGACCGAGGACAGTGGAAATTGAAAATTGGAAAATTTACGAGATTGCCATTGATTGTTGTTGGCCAATTGGCAAAGACTAAAAGGAGGCATGTGTGGTGAATAAAAAAGCTCTCTGTTCGGTTTTTCTCACGTGACCTCTCCTCTTCACTCACCTCTATCTTTTATGACTTCCATGTTATAGTATTGAGTAGACCTCGGCGTTCGGTTAACCATTCGGTTTCGGTTCGGTTATATTCGGTTTCGGTTCGGTTTGGATATGGTAATATAATAACCATTAGGATATTTTAAGAATTTCGGTTCGGTTACCTTTCGGTTCGGTTCGGTTTGGATATTTAAATAGATAACCGTAACTAACCAAACTTTTATCACGTTCAATTTGGTTCGGGTTTTTACCCAAATTAGCCGAAATTTACCGAATAAAACCGAAACTAACCAAAATTAACCGAAAAAAAATTACAAAAAGAAAATATAAAAAAAGAAAAATACTAGAAAAAATTAAAATTTGATTCAGTTTTGTAAAAGAGTATTTAACTTTGACAAATATAACAAACAATATTTGGATATTTTGATTATTTAAAATATTTGATTGTTTTAATTCTAAAATAATTAATATTTTGAGTTTATAATTATAGTTTTGGATATTATTTTTAGGTATCTTATAGGTTTTTGGATATTTCGGTTAACCGTTTGGTTATCGGTTCGGTTCGGTTTGGTTTCGGTTAGTTTGGATACGTGATTTTACTAACCATTCGGTTATTTTAAAAACTTTGGTTCGGATATAATTCGGTTTTTTCGGTTCGGTTCGGTCGGTTATTTGGTTAGCGGTTTTTTTGCCCAGGCCTAGTATTGAGTATTGACTCAATACGACAAAAAACTACAAAGGTTATTAATTATTATTTTTTTTCATCTATACTACTCCTTTCGTTTCGTTTTAGTTGTCGTTTTAGGTTTTTTCACACAAATTAAGAAAAGAATTAAATTTTCTGTTTTACCCTTTATTAATAAATTTTATAAAAAAATTCATTGGCCGAAACATTAAAACAGTAGAGATAAAACTGGAATTTTCACAAAACATTTACAGCGAAAACCTAAAACAACAACTATTATGAAACAAAATTTTAACTCTAAAACGACAAGTAAAACGAAACGGAAGGAGTAGTATTTTTGAATTACATCTATACTAATATTTTTGAAATACATTTTTAGCGGGTGGATTAAATTATTATCCGACAAATTTGGTATCCGACCCGATAAGAAATTTTCTTCATAAATTTTACACCGGATATTTCATATCTTTTTTGGATCGGATCAAAACATATCCGAAATTATGAACTAGATATTCCATATTTAAAAATATAGATATTTAGAATATTTGGTTAAGATTTAGAATACAATTCTCTTATCATCTTTTGTTTTAAATTTTTTTTAACTGTTTTGAAAAATCATATAATACAGAAAGTAAAAACACCAATTTTTTCTGCATACATTGGAATTCAAAATTTTTAAAACGGATATATATTACCCAATTGATAAAAAAGGTGTGTGTTCAACGTCCCATATCGGCTAAAATGTTTATATATTGATTCAAAATCATATTATAAATAAGATCAAAATGAATTCAAATCTGAATGAACAAGAATCTAATCTTAATAATCATCCAAATTTAAAACTATATACCGTTTCATTATGTTTTTTTACTTTAACTGCTTAATTTTACCGGAAATATTAAATTGTAAACTCTTAAATAATATAATTCATATATTTAAAATCAACTAAGAGTTTAAAATATATTTGAACATATATAAAGAGTTACAATAACACGAGACATGTTTTATGACTAGACAGGGTTATATAACGGGATGAGGTTTTAAGAAGTTTTAAATATTATAATTCATATATTTAAAATCAATAAATTTTTTATAATATTAAAAATATTTGAACATATATAAAGATTTAAAATAGCAAGGGGCGGTTATATTGTAGGACGGGGTTATATTGCAGGACGAGGTTATATTGCAGGACATGATTATATGATGGGACGAGTTTGAATCAAAAAATTTAAAAATCATTAACCCGCTACTGCAATACGGGTTAAATCTTCATTTATATATTTTTTTAATAACACCATTATTAGATATATCGAATGATCCTGATTAAAGTAAAATTGTATAAAACAAAAATTGTCTTATGGTATACCGTTACTTAATAACAATTATAAACTATAAAATATAAAGGTCTTATAAAATGATACAATTTGTTATATATATAATATACAACCAATAAATTTTAAAAATCACTAATTTTAAAAAATAAATCGTCCCGCGGGTTAAAATCTAGTTATTTTTATTTTAGTAAACATTTACAAAAGTACCATTATTTATGTAGCCAAACAACAAACATAATTAAATTGTATAAAATAAAAGTTGTTATGCGATATACCTCTGTAGTATTTAATAAAAAGTAGATTAGAATACGCATACTCCTGTAAATAATGTTTGTAAACAAATTTATTTGATATTTACTTTTAATATGCTAGTTAAGTGGCCATACATAATTTTCTTGTAAATGAAATTATTTTTTTGGATTTGGTTTTAATTTGGGTTAGTTTTGTTTATGTAGGTAAAATGGTAAAATGAGTTTTTTGAATAGCGATATTAAATTAAAAAGTGACCATAATTTAATTATGGCACTGAAAAATAACTATATATATATATATATATATTTTTTTTTTGTCAACCACATATTAATTAATAAAGAACTCCTTGATTGGTTGCCCAATTAGGAGGATAAGTGTCTACAAAAGAAACTTCATAAAATAAAAGTCTGGAAGAACGGGCTAAGCAGTCCGCTTTAACATTACATAAACGGGGAATAAGAGAGAGCGAGAAGAAGGGGAAAGAGACACGGAGAAAACCAAACTCGTCTAGCAGATTGGAGAAAGCGGGCCATTCGTCAGGGGACTGTATCATCGAGACTAACTCCGAACAATCTGTTTCAAACGCCTGACAATATATCCTTCTTGAAAGGATATTCTTCATAGCCCAAATTAAAGCTTCCATCTCCGAGTGAAGGGGGGGAAGGACTCCTTCGTAGGCACATTGCACCGAACAAAATCGATTGATCATTTCCTTGAAAACAACACCATCCTAAGCCCATAGTTGGTCCTTTATCGCCTTATTTGTTTATTTTATGTACGGAGGTACTGATTGCAAATATTAACAAGGCGGAAAAAAAAAAAAGCTGACCGGAATTAAGATAGCGAAAAGAAGCCCAGCAATTTCACATCTACTCTTTGCGGATGATAGTCTCTTTTTCTGTAAAGCGGATTCAGAGCAATGCAAAACAGTGATGGATATTATTGGGAATTATGGTAAAGCTTCAGGACAAGAGATAAATCTCAGTAAATCATCGGTTATGTTTGGTAAGCGCGTAGCAAACCAAAAAAGAGATCAACTTAAAAACATCCTTGGAATAACTAAGGAAGGTGGAATGGGTACATATTTGGGTATACCAGAGAGCTTAGGAGGCTCAAAAAGTAAAATCTTTAATTATGTCCGGGAAAGACTTAATGAACGGATCAATGGCTGGTCAGCAAAATTTTTGTCGAAAGGTGGGAAAGAGACAATGATCAAATCAGTGGCTTTGGCACTCCCAACCTATGTTATGTCTTGTTTTAAACTCCCTCAAGATTTAACTTCTAAGTTAACAAGTGCTATTTCTAATTATTGGTGGAGTTCCAATGGGCGAGATCGTGGGATTCATTGGATAGCATGGGAGAAAATGTGTAAAGATAAAGAAGATGGAGGCTTAGGTTTTCATTCGCTAGACATTTTTAATGATGCCATGTTGGCTAAACAGTACTGGCGTTTAATTCAATATCCGAATTCTTTAGTTGCTCGAGTGCTAAAAGGCAGATATTTCAGGAATATTCATCCTTTACAGGCAAAAAAACCAAATTCTCCATCATTTGGATGGAAGAGTATTTTTTCAACTAAAAGATTAGTTGAAGTGGGAGCTAGATGGTCATTAGGTTCAGGTTACAATATATCGGTATGGCGAGATCCTTGGATTCCTGATGTTAACCCGAGGCCTGCAAATGGGAGAGGAAATTTATTACTTCCAAGTTTGATGGTTAACCATTTAATTAATCCGGTTACTAAAGAATGACATCTTCCCATTTTACAAGAATATATGGATCCAGTAGATATTCAGCTTATTAGGGGATTGACTATTAGCTGAGTTTCTAAGCCAGATAGGCTTATCTGGCATCATACAAAATCAGGTAGATATACAGTAAAATCAGGCTATCGGGTTGCTAAAGAGATGATAGAAGCGATCGAATGGGGCCCAAATTATAAGGCTCTACAAGCACAAGCTTGGAAAGTCAAAGCCCCTCCAAAAATACAACATTTCTTATGGCAAATTGCTTCGGGATCCTTAGCAGTTAATTCAAAATTAGCACATCGAGGGGTTCGATGTGATATTCTTTGTAAAAGGTGTGAGTTGGCAGAGGAAACAATAAATCATGCTTTATTTGAGTGCACTCATTCTAAGAAAGTATGGGACTTATCCGATATACCTATGGTATCAGGTAGTTTTCCTCTAACCTCGGAATTCTCAAATCTAGATTATCTTTATTGGAGACTTCCATCTACTCTAGAAAGGGGAGAGAAAACATATAGTTATGCTTGGATTTTGTGGTTCATATGGAATAAAAGGGTATTCAAGGGATTACAATCTGAACCCATAGATATTTTAAATCTTGCTTTGAGTGAAAAATTAATGTGGGAAGAAGCTCAGGTGGATCCGATCGAAACTAGTCCTATTACGGAAACTTTGGAACGCCTAGTTCAATCGATAAGATGTCGGTTTGATGGCTCTTGGAAAATAACTATATTTTAGAAAATGAATTATCAATTATTTTTTTTGTCAACCAAACATTAATTAGAAATTAACTCCATGACTGGTTCTAACCAGGAGAAAACGAGTTTACAAAAGTAACTTCAGAAAATAAGAGTCTAGAAGATATTGCTAAAAAATCCACATCAAAATTATATAAAATAGAAATAAAAGAAATCGAGAAAAGAGGAAAAGAGACACAGAGCAATCCAAGATCATCTAGCAGATTGGAGAAAGCGGACCATTTTTCAGGGGACTGTACCATTGAGTCTAACTC